GTATATATATATATACACACACGTATATATATATATATATATGTGTGTATATATATATATATATATACACACGTATGTGCTGTATATATTGTAAGTAAGGTAAATGTGCAAGTGCTCACTACAGACAGATGGGTGACAAATTTAAGGAGAAACTAACAAAGACGGTCTATACACGCACCCTGGCAGAGATTGAACAAGTCTCTAGAAACTACAGAGAGACAAATACCACCGAACACACGAGTCGACCAGTTCTCTAGTCATACATCGCTTTGATTACTCATTCCATTCATGGTAGGAAATTCTGGGAAAAACCCTCACAACACACAGATAATTCAGAACAGATTAGTCAGGGTTGTGTTGGGTTTGGTTCCTTTGCGTCTGTCAAACAGCCAATTATGGGGATAAAAAGTGGTACTTTTCCTATTTTAATAAAAATAAATTTAACAGAGAGCATTTAACAATGCTGCAAGTCTTTGGAAGGCAGACACCTGTGATGGGTTTGAACCCAACAGCACAAGTTTGTAAACAATTCCAACCGCTTGGGTGTTACCCTTGACAGACAGTCGTAAAACCACGACCCAGTGTGGTGCATAATATTTATAACAGAGCTCCTGTGTAGCTCTAAGCTTTTGTAGGGCTGAGGGAATTTATGCACACCCGGCTAGAGCTACAGTAGTATTGCAGACATTTAATACCAACATGGGTATTTCTTGTTTAAGTTCTGTGGTGCCAGAAATTGGAATAAGTTACTTGGCACATTAAAAAATAAGTAGCTACCACAGTTTTCAAAAAGTAGATCAAATTGTGGCTCATGGGAAACTTGAAGGAGTAAGCTTTAGTTTTAGTTTTAATTTGTTTGTAACTTTCAATATTTTATGTTTTGGATGTTCGACATGTAAATGATTTTTATTAAGGACAGATGCCTAGTTATGTGTGGATAAGTACTATATCAAGCACCAGAATGGAAATACAATATATCTTGTCACGGTTGAAATATTTGTAGTTGTGTGATTTAATATCCTCCATCTTGTAATGTAAAATAAACTAAACATTCTTCAAAAGATATTTATTTTTCCAAAAGAGAACAGAGGGACTGTTCCAGACTTAAGCTTTGGATTTATTAGCTGCAGTTTGCAAAGTATCCCATTTAAAATCAGATCAGGTGACTGCAAAGGCCATGGTGTATCATTGCTGATTTTTTCCCCTGTATTTTGTCACCTGTCTGTATATACACATTATATAGATTATGTAAGTGACCTACCCAGCATGACCAGGAATGTGATGCCTTGCTCGTTACCACTGGGGTAGGTAGCATACTCGCAGATGTACTTCCCCTCATCGGTCATCCTAACATTGCTTATCTGGATGGAGGGAGTGGTCAGGTCTGGGGGACTGTGTGTGAAGCTGACTCTGCCCTTCATGGGTGAGTCGGGGTAGTTGGGTTGAAAGCTGGGGTGAAGCACAGCGATGTTAATCCTATCGCCGTCCTTCGGCTCGTAGATCCATGTGACCTGTGGTGGAGGAGAAAGCACAGAGTGACTGGTTAGGATGCGTGCAGTGACTGGGGAAAACAACAGGCCTCATTTATCATGGCATTGATAAGCGACACTGGAGAGCCTTTTTTAAAGACACTTTGCTGTAAACTCCACGAGGCAGCGTACACAGAATCACAATCAAATAAGTGGAGCAGCTATGAATATGGATGTGGGGTTTTTCAGGAGAAGTACTCTCTCTTTCTCTCAGCTGCTCTTAGCGGAACCAAGCAGAGTTGTGCACGTCCCACTTCATTGAGATGCGACTAAGAACTTACCATTACCATATTCAATCCCCTAAAGCAAAATGAAGCTTAGTATTGTTTGTTTGGAGTAATAAAACATTAAGCCTAAATGTGATAAAAACCTATTACTAGCCTTAGGATTATTTCTGTGGGCTATGATTTGTTAGATTAAGGTTTAATGTGCTAGATAAACAAGGCACATGGACCTGTATTATCATTTTATGTTTATTTTGATTGCAATGAATTGCTCTTCTCCACCTGTGCGACTGACTCTCACACACCTGCAGAATCAGCCTGATACATAATTGACAAATACTTTATTTTACAGGAAAATAGCCTCGTGTTTAATCAAATATTAAATTGTGTATTCACTTAATGTCCAACATCTGTTCGCTTGCTTCAATTGTGAAAGCAAATTGTAGTCCCAAGCAATTTCACCAAATTGTAGTGTCAAGTCAGCAAAATGAACTGCAATTTCAGGATGAAACAAACATTTATATTAAAATGTCATACTGCAAACCCAGTTTAGAGTTAATATCAGTGTGCTGGTATAAAGAAGTAATCAAATCCTATCTGGAAAAAAAAAGAAAGAAAAGAAAACAATTGCATCATGTGTAACTGACCATTGTAAGCTGAATCCCAGTGGCATCAGTGAAGGCACAGCGCAGGTTGACTGTCTGGCCAGGATATGATGACACCTCCGGCTCCACCTTCACCCGCTGACCCGACGCTCCTGGGAGAAAAAGAGAAAGAGAAACATTAATGTCAGCTGTTTCCTTCCTTTACAAACTAGGATAGGGGATGAGGAAAGGGAGCAGAGGAATCGTGTTGGTACAAAGCCTCCTGATGATAAATGAGGACAGTGTGGAAGTGTCTGGTACAACAGAGGACAGCATTAGTGAACCCAGGCAAGTAGGCCAAGAGTCTGGTATCTCTCTATGACTGCGTGTGTGGACGGAGAGGCTGAAAAAAAAGAGGATCTGTGCTGAAAAAAAGAAGTGGAAAGCCAGTTCTCTTTTGCACATAGGTCATAAATCATCTGGATGGGTTATGCTTTTCTATAGCCTGCCATTTGCTGTGCCGACACATTCCTGTGCAACAGCAAAGAGTCAAAATAAATATGCTTTTCTTGGTGCGTTGTGTCAGTGGGCGTGTAAGAAACGGTAAGAGCGAGGGAGCTTTAGAACAACAATCTGTCCGTGTATTTTTTTTTTGATAGTGTGTATGTGTGTGTGCGTGCGTGTGTGTGTGTAATCCAGGTCTCTGTGAAAATGTAATTACTTGTATGAGTAAGCGCGCATTAGTGTATGTCAGCAAGATGGCACCTGTTTTAAGTAAGAGTGGATTACCTGCGGATACATAACTTCAAATGTCTGCAGCCAGGGCTACGTGTGCAAATGTGTGTGTGTTCACAGTGTGTTTACCAGTAAGCTACAAAACAGCACCCATGAAACACAATTTCCCCTAAAGACAAACAATTACTTGCAGAACTAGTTTCACCAGTTTGTGCTGAGCCAAAGCTATTGTGTTGAAACTAATATGATTCGGAGGGTTGACGGAAACACACGCACAAACACACACACGAAACCAATGAGCTTGGAGATAAGAGGAAAGGGCAGTGCTGTCTCTCTTTTGACGAGCAATAAACACCACACCTTGTCTTCTCTAGGGAGATCTGAGATATCAATACAGAGGAAGAGAAGAGAGAGGAAGGAGCGATAGACTGACTGGGAAAGTGGAGGAAAACAAGACTTTCCTAGAATAACACTAGCTCTCCCAGGACCAGCCCAATTTACTACCACAAAACAACCCCCTTGTAGCCACAGAGGAACCTCTGGACAACCACTAAGCAGCCCGTGGGAGCAGCAGAGAGCCTTATTGGGTTTGAAAGCCCAATAAGGCTTTTTTTTTTGCCTTGGACATACATACACAAGCAAATCTATGCAAGAGGACACACAAAAGCATCCGCGTGCACACATTCATACACACACACACCCCATGACAGTTTTATTGTCGAGCTCACCGGGATATGGGGTTATTGAAACCCTTGATTACTAGTCTTGATTGGAGTGTATGGACCAAGTCAGCGTGACATGTCAGAGGTCATTCTGCAATACGACACCGAAGATAAGTTACTCTGCCTCAGGTTTCACTTGTGTGCAAATTCACACACAAACACATGCACAGATAATGTGGGGGCAGAGCCGAGGTGGACCTGTTGTCTGTCATTCGGAGGCAATAAGGAGAGAGCCAACACAGGTCAACGCCTGTCAGAGCTCAGATGAGAGACAGGCCGGCCTTATGAGACTCTATACAGCCCCAGGGAAATGAATATTACACACAAGACATACAGAGACTTGCACGCACTCATCTTCAATGCTAGTCCCCAAATCCCAGCTCTGAAGACTGAGAGACTCGATGTCATTAGAAGAGCAGACACAGAGAAGAAGTAGTCAGAGTGTGCATGTGTATGCATGTACACAGACACAACAGACATTTGGAAATCCTGAGGCGAGGCGGCATTTGAAATAGTAATTGTCAGTATAAATATTTAGAGAGCACTGGTCATATTAAACAGAAGAGAGAGAGACAGGGGGCGGAGGGAGACAGGAACTAAGGGAATTAGAGAATAAAAGACAGTTCAAGGGTAAGACTGAGAAGAAAGGAGGAGCGACAGAGAGGGAGAGCGACGGAGGGAGAGAAAGAGAGGGTTGGAGGGGAGGAGAGTGAGAACAGAAGCCTTGTGTCACCGCTGCTCCACTTTACAGTAGCTCCGCTGCCTGCAGGTGACATCAAGAGAAAAGCCACCAAACCAAACGCACACGAACAAACAAATGCATGCACACACAATCTGCCCTTTTCAACATTCTCCAAGTAGTCAGATGTCACCATCATAAGCACTGTCACCTATCATTATGTCTTTAACACCCACATGATGCGCACGCACACACACACATTATGCTGATGGCGCTGCGACAGCCCTGCCATATGAACACAGTAGTCTCTGATCCCCTGCCTGGTCACGCTGACATTTCCATATTTCCCACCATTCGGCTGTGAAGACGAAAATGAATCAGGAAGGAAGGAGGAGAGGAAGTGTGTTAGGAGGATGGAAGGATGAAAGAAGGGAGACGAGAGACAGCCTAGGAATGCCAAAGTGATGAAGGATGAGAGCAGGGGAGGGTGG